GGGTTCAAGCGATTCTACTGCCTCAGCCTCCGGAGTAGCTGGAACTATAAGCATGCGCCACCACACCTGGCTAATTTTTGTATTTTTAGTAGAGATGGGGTTTTGCCACGTTGGCCAGGCTGGTCTCGAACTTCTGACCTCAGGTGATCCTCCCACCTTGGCCTCCCAAAGTGGTGGGATTACAGGGCTGAGGCACCATGCCTGGCCCCAAATGGACAATTTTCTAAAGGATCAAGTTGATATATGGCTACCTCACCAAAGTCTACTGAAATTACCAATTTACCGAAAAACCTTTGTGCAGTTGTCTTTAACTACAGAGTTTATAGTAAATTGCTCTAGCCAAATTGGCATAGCCTAAGTAAGGGCTAGGGAGAGCCAGTTCTCTAGTGTTAAGGGCCTTTAGGCCCCTCACTGCGCACCTTATAGCCTCTTGCTGCTCTGGAGTGAGCAGCCTGGAAAGGCTCTGTGTTCTCCAGCAGATGATCTTGTCTATCTCCAGCTGCAGCAACAGGGAACTGGGGCAGAGGCAAACTGAGCTTAAAAATGCTAGTATCAGGCCAGGCGCGGTGGCTCACGCCTATAATCCCAGCACTTTGGGAGGCCGACGCGGGTGGATCACGAGGTCAAGAGATTGAGGCCATCCTGGTCAACATGGTGAAACCCTGTCTCTACTAAAAATACAAAAATTAGCTGGGTGTGGTGGCACACGCCTGTAGTCCCAGCTACTCGGGAGGCTAAGGCAGGAGAATTGTTTGAACCCAGGAGGCGGAGGTTGCAGTGAGCCGAGATCACGCCATTGCACTCCAGCCTGGGTAACAAGAGCGAATCTCCATCTCAAAAAAAAAAAAATAAATAAAATAAATAAAATAAAGCTAATATCGGTCTGGGCAACATACTGAGACCTATTTAAAAAAAATAGCCAGGTGTCAGCAGGACACAGTGGCTCACGCCTGTAATCCCAGCACACTGGGAGGCTGAGGCAGGTGAATCATGAGGTCAGGAGTTCAAGACCAGCCTGGCCAACATGGTGAAATGCCGTCTCTACTAAAAATACAAAATTTAGCCAGGCATGGTGGCACACGCCTGTAGCCCCAGCTACTCGGGAGGCTGAGACAGGAGAATTGCTTGAACCTGTGAGGCAGAGGTTGCAGTGAGCTGAAATTGTACCATTGCACTCTAACCTGGGCAACAGAACGAGACTTCGTCTAAAAAACCCCCAGCATCTTTATACTTCTTTTTAAAAGTTAAGATGGGTTAAGGAGCAGGGAGGCCTCAGTTGCCCAGGCTGGTTTCAAACTGATAGCCACAAACTATCCTCCTGCCTCAGCATCCTATATAGCTGAGATTATGGGCACACGTCACCACACCCACTTCATTTTAACATCATTTAAAAAGAGCCAGGTGCCCTCACTTGCTCCTAGCAGGGGATTGGGTTTCTTATTAAAGATTCAACTGGGAATCAATATTGTTAGCACTCCAAAGAAGCGCTACTTTTTTTCTACTACATTTTGATTTAAGTCATTATGGTTTTGAGAATATGAGAATCCTTGGTTTTCAGGAAAAGTAGATCTCAGCAGCCAGGCACAGGTCTCACTCCTTCCCTTAAACCCCCCATCCCCTCCCTAGGGGCAACAAGTGCTTCCTCTCTCTTGTGATTCTTCAAGAGATGGTCTGTACTTCTATGAGTGCGTTCACATGTGTGTACATACACATGCATGCAGTGAATTACTTCTTGAGGTTTCTTTTTTCCCCAGGAAAAAGAAAATGAGTGAGACTCAAAATTCAACAAGCCAGAAAGCAATGGATGAGGATAACAAAGCTGTAAGCCAAACAATGCCGAACACACAAGACGAGACGAACACACAAGACCACGAAGATGAATTGACTCGAGTAGCTCTAGCTCTGGTTGAGGATGTCATCAATTATGCTGTGAAGTTTCTGGAAGGTAGTAATCCCATTTGTTTGGATGCCTAAAGAATTGTCTCATTATATAGTGCCACGCCACCAGGCAACTAACAAATTCACACCTTTGTTTTTGCAGATGAGCAAAACCCTATGAAAAATATCAAGTGGATGACTCACGGTGAATTCACTGTGGAAAAGGGTCGTAAACAAATTGACGAATATCTTTCGGTAAGTTAGGCCGACCACTTCAGCTTGGTACTTCAGTGTGAAGAACAATAAAGACACTCAGCAGATCAAAAGTTTGAAGTCTGGAAAATCTAGGAGACAGTATCAAAGGGGGCTGACTAGAATAAGTAAACATGGTCTCCATCTCAGTTCCAAAATCAAGGTGGGGTAGTCTTTGAAGGTGAAAAGCACAACCACAGTCATGTTGCCCTGTGTCTGTATCATTCTAACCTTCCATTTCTCTGGGAAAATCTGCCCTTCCTACTTAAGCCATTTGGCCATGCTGGTGCATTAAATGGGGGCCTAGTGGCCTAAGGAGGGAGCTGCTCCTCCAAAATAGGAGTTCTCCACCACCAGCATTATTTTGTTTTTTTTTAGAGACATGGTCTCACTCTGTTACCTAGGTTGCAGTGCAGGGGCTCTATCCTAGCCCCCTGCAGCTTTGAACACCTGGGCTCAAGCAGCCTTCCCACCTCAGCCTTCCAAGTAGACAGGCGTGTGTCACCACACCTGGCTAGTTTTAAAATTTTTTGTAGAAACAGGATCTCGCTAGGTTGCCCAGGTTGGCCTTGCACTCCTGGCCTCAAGGGGTACTGCTGCCTTGGCCTCCCAAAGTGCTGGGATTATAGGTGTGAGCCATTGCACCCCACCTCCACCACCAATTTTAGAATGCTCCCATTAACAGAGGGGATGCAGATGGATCAGAAGACATTTTGATTTGGCTTTGGAATATATTGCCTGCATAGTAAGATGTACAATCCCATGAATTCCTTTGTTTTTCTGCCTGTGTCTGACTTTGACTTATTTGTGTGGCTTATCCTGGCAGCTTTGCTGAGAAGGCCCTGGATTAGTGAGCGGATAAAGAAGAATGTCTTGGGCCAGGCACAGTGGTTCGCATCTGTAATCCCAGCACTCTTTTGGGAGACCAAGATGGGAAAACCAATTGCTTGAGCCCAAGAGTTTGAGGCAGCCTGGGCAACATAGCGGGACCCCATCTCTATAAAAATAAAAAATTAGGCTGGGCGTGGTGGCTCACACCTGTAATCCCAGCACTTTGGGAGGCCAAGGCAGGCAGATCACAAGATCAGGAGTTTGAGACCAGCCTGGCCAATATGGTGGAACCTCGTCTCTATTAAAAATACAAAAATTAGCTGGGCATCATTGTGCACACCTGTAGTCCCAGCTACTCTGGAGGCTGAGGCAGGAGAATCGCCTGAACCTGGGAGGCGGAGGTTGCAATGAGCTGACATAGTGCCACTGCACTCCAGCCTGGGCGACACAGCAAGACTCCATCTCAAAAAAAAAAAATTCGCTGGGTGTGGTGGTACCTATAGTGCCAGCTACTCAGGAGGCTGAGGTGGGAGGATCACTTGAACCCAGGAGGTCGAGGCTGCAGTAAGCTATGATTGGGCCATTGCACTTGGCCTGGGTGACAGAGTGAGAGACAGGGTCTCAAAAAAAAAAAAAAAAAAAAAAAAAGAATGGCTTGAAATCCTTCTCATTGTGCTTCTAGGGAACAGAGACCAGTCGAAATTGGTGGAGGCGAACTCCCCTACCCCTGGGAAAAGTACCAGCCGTCTCTGTTCCCCAGACCAGCCCCTCAAAGCCTACAGCCCTCAGGGCAGTTTCCCAGGCCTTTGGAAGGCCTGGCCAGGTGTGAAGGAGGAAAAGTCAGGGATCTCTGGCTCTAAGCCCTGTATGCTCCAGCGGGCACCACTCACCGTTCTCATTCGGAGGGTTATCTCGAACATAGTGAAGAGGAATGGTGTAAGTTACTCGAGCCTTCCTGCTGTGGAACACATCTCCACTTGAGGTTGGGTAAAGGTCCCTGCCTACTGCACTCAGCGTTCCTGAATCAAACTAGAATGGAACACACAGCAAGAAGGAAAAATTTCTCTCACAAATCCCACTGGTCATTCTGAGTAAAAGGCAAAAGTAAGTCCTGACAATGGTCTACAAGGTCCGATATGATCTGAGTTCTCTTTCCCCTCCCAACTTACAGCTCAGCTCCTATCACTTCCCACCTTCCCCCCTCACCTTCCTCCCTCAGCCACGTTTGCCTCCTTGCCCTTCCTCGACTGCCAGGCGTGTTCCCCCATCAGGACCCTTGCTCTTGCTGTTCCCTCTGGCTGGAACCCTCTCCCCTAACATATATGCCCACGGCTCACTGCTTTACCTCCCTTCAGACTTTTGTTAAAATACCACCTGCTCCTGCTGGGCGCAGTGGCTCACGCCTGTAATCTCAGCACTTTGGGAGGCCAAGGCGGGTGGATCACAAGGTCAGGAGTTCAAGACCAGCCTGGCCAACATGGTGAAACCCCATCTCTACTAAAAGTACAAAAATCAGCCGGGCGTGGTGGTGCAGGCCTGTAATCCCAGCTACTTGGGAGGCTGAGGTGAGGCAGGAGAATTGCTTGAATCCAGGAGGCGAAGGTTGCAGTGAGCTGAGATTCCACCACTACGCTTCAGCCTGGGCAACAGAGACTCCATCTCAAAAAAAACCACCTGGCCACCTCATCTAAAATCGCAACCCTCTCCACTTCTCTGATTCAGTTTTTCTTCACACTTTCTGCCTAAGATACTAGAGCCTGTTTATTTGTCCTACTGCCTGTCTTACACCAGCAGATCATATGGTCCATGAGGGCAGATTTCTGTTCACTGCTCTGTTCCCAGCCACGAGCAATGTCAGGTACACAGATGCTCCATAAACCTGTGTTGAACACATGAACTTATTTATTTATTTATTTTTGTGTGGTGGAGTCTCGCTTTGTTGCCCAGGCTGGAGTGCAGTAGCACTATCTTGGCTCACCGCAACCTCTGCCTCCTGGGTTCAAGCGATTCTCCTGCCTCAGCCTCCCAAGTAGCTGGGACTACAGATGCGCACAAACACACCCAGCTAATTTTTTTTTTTTTTTGTATTTTGAGTAGAGACAGGGTTTTACCATGTCAGCCAGGATGGTCTCAATCTCCTGACCTCATAATCTGCCTGTCTCGGCCTCCCAAAGTGCTGGGATTACAGACGTGAGCCACCGCAACTGGCCACGAACAGATTTATTATCTCATTACCATATTTCTTCACAAATAAAGAGCCAGGTCAAAGCATTTGTCTTACCTACTTCGTAGGGCTGTTGTGAGGATAGAGACAATCAGAAAATAAACGACTGAAAAGCTAAATATGTTACATTAACTCATGATGTAAAATCCTCCTGTTCCCAGTCCCACTGATGCAGCAGATCTGAGAAGTGACGTCTCCCATCTAAGTGCCAGGCATTTCCTTTTTTTTTTTGAGACCAAGTTTCACTCTTGTCACCCAGGCTGGAGTGCAATGGTGTGATCTTGGCTCACTGCAAGCTCCACCTCCTGGGTTCAAGGGATTCTCTTGTCTCAGCCTCCC